TTTGAAAAGTTCAAGAACGATCAAATCAGTCGATAATACTTTGAGCTCCTAATACCTAGCTGCATGAAACACAAAGATACCTATAACGGCTAGATAACTTGCTGTAAATTTACAAGAAATCAGTGTAACATTTTCTTGTTCTCAGTACTTTCAATGTTCCCAGTACTTTCATTCTTACAAACATGATTTTTTCTTTTCTCAGGACTCAAGCAAGAAGGAGTCACCATCTTCCAATGAAGAGGTAGGTATGAAAGCTTGCATATAGTTCTCGTTTTGTTTGTTGTGCTCTTTTATTGGCTTGTATTGCCCCTAGTGGTCATTACTTTTTTGTCAAGTTTAATGCATCATTGGCTTGATGATTACCTACAAATACCTTAATCAGTCATCTCTCTCTCTCTCTCTCTCTCTCTCTCTCTCTCTCTCTCTCTCTCTCTCTCTCTCTCTCTCTCTCTCTCTCTCTCTCTCTCTCTCTCTCTCTCTCTCTCTCTCTCTCTCTCTCTCTCTCTCTCTCTCTCTCTCTCTCTCTCTCTCTCTCTCTCTCTCTCTCTCTCTCTCTCTCTCTCTCTCTCTCTCCCTCTCCCTCTCCCTCTCCCTCTCCCTCTCCCTCTCCCTCTCCCTCTCCCTCTCCCTCTCCCTCTCCCTCTCCCTCTCCCTCTCCCTCTCCGGCACTAAATGCTGTACCACCCTTAAATATTTGTCTGTCCTGTAGCTCATTTGGTAGAGTAATGGACTCAGCAGTCAGCAGTGAGAGGTCGGGTTCGAGCCGCCCCCGCACCCGATATATGAAACTCCTGACGTGGATAGTCCGCGGTTGGTAGAAGCACCCAAGATTACTTAACTACTAGGGAACATTACATGATACAAATAATGTGCAATTACTTGGCCTGTTAAAGTCGGTTGAGTGGGACAGGCTGTGTCGGCATTTGATGGGCATGTTAAACTTTGGCATTTTAAGGGGCCGGGGCCTATGTGGGCCTTGGCTCTGTCAATCTGATCATTCACTCATTTGAGTTTTTGATGAACTACCTACACTTTCTTCTAAGTTTTCAAAAATGGAACGTTCACTGTGCTACACCGCTTCAATTTTGACCGTGACACTTAATTTCGTTTAAGACATTCAAACGAGAGATGATGTCACAGTTCATTTATGATGTTTGCCTTTTGTCCTGAAAATGTGCCGGGATACAGCACGCTTTATGGCCAATCTATCACGATAAGCTGTGTCAGTGGTGTAGCTGATACGCCAAGCCCGCGCCCGGCTTGTCTAGTCACCGAGGAGCGTAACCGCTTTGTGATTGGCACTGTAACCGCAAGAGAGCTCTCTATGTTAAAAGCTTCTCACTGCTGTCTAACTTGGTATATTGGGGCTTTTGGGGACTTCCCACTTTGCTCTGCTTTAGCTACGATTAATGCTCATAAGACCGAGTTTTTTAGCTTTGGCATGGATGAGAAATACATTTCTTTTCCATGCCCACGGCACACGGCGTAATGCTTGATTATATTGTAATTACGGCTTTCCCTCTTCATATTTAGCTGCCAGGTGATTGCGCCGTGCTGCCGCCTAGGAACTTCCTGGCCGGTGCCTTTCTGATAGCGATAAGCCTCAACTGACAAGGAATCTCGGAAAGGGATGGTACCCCTTCCCCACAACCTAGAGCGCTAGTGTTGGTATTTTGCCGGGTACTGGTGCAGCGGGCCGGTGATGACCGCGCCGCCGGTGTCCGCAGGGCCAGCGGGCAGCCGCCGGTGCCGCCGGCGCCCCGCCGCCCACCGCTCTCAGCAAGGTGCCCTACGGCGCCAGCCCCATGATGCGCAAGGACCGCCGCCAGAGCTCCTCCCGCTTCAACCTGCCCAGGAACCGGGAGCTCGAGAAGCTGCCCAGCTTCAAAGGTCAGTCCCCAGCCCGGTCGGAGGGGGTGAAGGTCATGTGATGTGTTTGGGGATTTGGCGAGGCGAGGTCTTGCATTCACTGTAGCACGTTCTGTCTTTTCGTATGCGCGCCTCCTATCCTCGGCCATCATTCTGTTCCGTTTTCTGGTGCTGTATTTATTCGCTTTACCGGAGGAGCTGCTCAGGCTGCGCTGCTGCGGTAGCCTGTTCTGTTCCGAATCGATCGGCCCAATCCGTGGCTCCGTGTCAGAGGTCGCGGCCACTGCTCTGGCTCGAGCTCGACTCTCGCCCCGTGCCAGGGTTGTCACACTTCTGGCGCCGCGTGATTTCGTATTTCGATGGGGATCGAGCGAGCTGCACGATAGGTAGCTCCTCCTGAGGGCCTCTTATTTTCCTGTCCGTCCGACGGGCAATCTATCCGACAATCTGACACAGTCCCTGTGCCATTTCATCCATCCATCCATTCTTTCGTCCGTTCGTCACTCCGTCCGTCCGTCCGTCCGTCCGTACGCCCGCTCACCCGTCCGTTCGTGCCGAGTACGGCCGGCGCGCCTGGCGTCACCACCCGGGGAGCGGCTATCGCGGCGGTAGGGTACCGGCGTGGGCCGTGGCGGCCTTGCCCGACTTACCTGGAACCGACTAGCCCCACCGCTGGTGTTGGCTACAGCAGTAGTACAGCACACTGGCCAAGAGGGATGCTCTTGTCAGCGGCTGAGCTGTGCTGATTAGGTGAGCTTGGGTACGGGGATGAGCTAAGTAGTTCCTCTCATCGTTTTGGATACGACTGAAATGCTCGTTGTCCGTCCCCAGGCAACTTACTGCGATTGAGCAGCATTGAAATTCTAGTGCCAGGTGGGGATAAATGGATCGTCGAAGTTCGTGCTGCTTTACATTCGTCGACAGTGCTTTGCATTTGGTGACATTCAATATGACTATCAATGACTAGGGTGTCAGAGCCCGGGTTTCTTCTGCATGTCGTGCGGCTCTGACCCACTACTTTACAACTCGTCCAGTCACACTCTCCGGGTCGTTAACCGACCTCCGGGGTCGAGAGGCAGTCTGCAGAGGTCGAGGGGTCACGCTGAGACTGTTCAACTGTGTCAGAACGGGCCGTCCATCGGCGAAAGGCACAGTGTCTGCCGTCTTTTATGCTGCCCTTCGACCCGTGTGCTATTGCCGGCACGTAATTGTATTACCGCTGTCTTTATAGTGTTGATCGATTTTCCACTATGGAGATGCTCGTGAATGGTGTGAATGATGGACCTTGGATAGATAATGCAATGCTCTTTTTGGAAAGACTTTCGAATGATCACAGTTCTGGTAAAGAGAATAGAAATGGTGCGAAAGGCAGCACCATAAGATGGCAAATGACCAACATTTGTATTGACCAACATCATGGTCACCAACATTTGTCAACAAAGACGAATCAAATCACCCGGTTCTCCTAGTTTTGTTTTTTCTCGGTACCTATTGAAATCGTTTATATGTAACATTTTGAATTTATCATAGCCTGTCACTGCCGGGAAGCCCGCTATTATCGAAGCACCCGCAGCAGTCTGTGCGCGTTCCAGACGGCTCACTTTCATTGTCGGACCGGGCTGTGATTGACCCAGTGACCCGCTCGGCGCGAGCGGCTCAGTGTCCCCGCTCTCAGTTCGGGCGGCGGTCGGCCGACCGGCAGGCAGCGCAGTGACGTAGGCCCATCGATCCTGATACAGCGGCGGCGGTAGCGGCGGCCTCCCCCACCCCAGTCCCGGCGCATGATGGTCATCTGACACTGATTATTTCGCAGTACGCCTCTATCCGATGGCGGGCAGCCGGCCCAGAGATGAGCCAGCGCAACAGACATGTGGCTCGGTAAACGAGCTAATTGGGGGTGGGTCGGGGAACCAACCAGCAAGGCAGTTCGAGGGGGAGGGAGGGAGTTGGGGTTTATTGAGGGATAGGTCACATTGATAACAGGTTAAGTTTGGACATCAATGGGTGGTTTCTGGTCTTGACAATCCCCCACAGCTCTCAGCATCCCATATTGATTCGTATCTTGCACATCTTCTTTCTCCAATAGGCGTTAGAACTTTGCTAAATATGTTACTAACCGTACCGTAGACACTGCAGCTATCAGCGCTTTGAGCGGTTGCTGCCGGCACTGTAAAGGCGGGAGTGGGCTTCACTGTTCGGTGCATACCTCAGTCGTCACTTTTATCATCTGTGAATTGTGACATTGCCTGTCAAAGGCAGTGGCGAATCGATCCTTTCGACCTTGAACCTGCACTCATTGTAATATTTCGTTGCAAGAGGACTTTGACTCGCAATTTCCACGCGACTTAATCGAAGCAGTAAAATCACTCATAGGTCGTTTGAGCTACGCAACTCGCGGGGTCGTCAATCTCAATACGGCTATCGATCATCAGGTGACCCAGGGCATTATAAAATCAATGCTTTGCCATATGCTGACCTTTAGCCCCCGTCCGACTAGGGAGCCCAACGACTCATCCCTTTTCTGAGACCTTTGGCAGCCAATTGCCAGAGGTCGCATCAACTAACTACTTGGCTGGCCGCGTCACGCGCGCTCGGTCTCGGTAATGATAAAGGCGCGTTTTTGTCAATCGAGTGTCGCATGTTTGCGTGTGAAGTCACACAAGGCTGAGAGAGATATGAACAGGAGCTGAGACTGAGTTTTGCAGGAACTGAGTTATGATCAAGCATGAGTTGAGCAGAAGCTAAATAGGAGGTGTGTGAGGACTGGACCAGTGTTCATTCGGAGTTGAGTCAAAGCTGAACAACCATACCGAAGACGTCATCCTTGATCGATTTGTCCCCATCGATCTGTTTAATAATCAAACGAGCGTTTCGCGTGTCGACGTCGCTGTCCGAGCCACGCATCGGCGCCAATGGTCGTGATCGGTCTGCGTTTACCTCGTTCTTCGTTCAAACCCGCACGAAACGAGTGCAGCTATGATCCGCGAACGGCCAGCAGTGCACGCTGTCGAACTGGCAGGCTTTGGCAGTGAGCCCAATCCATGAGGTCTTTAATGGCAGTCATCAAAAGGTGGCCGGACTTTCCCAAAATAGCTCCGCTTGACAGCGGCTGATCGGGCCCGTCTGACCTGACCTCCCGTAAGCTTGTGGCATCCCCGGCGAGCCGTGGGGGCTTGACGCGAAATGGGGTTAATTGGTGGTCGTTTGATTTTAGCGCGTCCGTGCTATTGGCGGCGTTATGCTGTGCAACAGGGTCGGGTCACCCGCTGACCCCGGTGTGGTGTGTGAACCGATTGATTCGGGAGTATCCGTAGCCTCACGTGAGATCAAAGCTGGGCGCTACGGAGCTGTAGCGCTGACCACTCTATTTATGATCGTGGGCTGAAATCGACGTAGCGTTACGGATACTTAATAGTCACATGTAGGGGGTTTCAGGGCACCAGACGCATCCTGCAAGTTTGTATCGCTACGGCAAGACAGAAGGCGTTAGGGCAGGGAGAGCAAGGGTTGGTTTTTAGAACGACCCTACTTTCTCGGATTTCGGCTGGCTTCGGTAATAGTTGTATCCGTCTGGCGGTTTGTGGGCCCGGTTGTTAGCGCAAGTCACAGCACAGGGAGTAGGAAGCTTAGATTTAGACTTGCTAATAACTCGTGGAGAAGAAACTCATGTTTTGTCAGGAATGAATTCGATTCATTAGATATTCCTGTACGAAAACTCGTCGTTACGTAAACCATGGCGTCCAACTCATGCACGTACTGATGCGGCACTTAGACCACAAGCAATTGATCACGAAGTCTTCGACATTTCAATTGCACAGTTGCTCATCCAACTCATCCTGCATGATTTCGCACATCCTCGTGTATAGATAGTTCGCATGTTTAGGGTAGTTCTAATGAAGACTGCCTCCTGGTCACCTTGTATTTGCGTGAAGCTATTCATGGCGGATGACGTCACTACGGCCGTTGCGTGCTGTTCTGTCGCACCGACGCCGTCGCCGTCCCTTGACAAGGCCTGAAGCCACTCTGTCCGTTTCATCATGAGTGCACGGTCACGAGTGGCACTGCGCGCGTCATCGCTACTGTCGCCGCGTCATCGCTGGCTTGGCGGTACTGGTAGCGGCCTGACAGGGTCGAACGGACGGCACATCGAACTAATTAGTGAGGTCCCGGCGAGTCGGGTCTGTGTCGCCGGCCGCTATTCACCTCGGCTGTGTGATTCGGTATGGCCAGGGTGGGCTGCTGGATATTATCCGGCTGGGCTACACTGGGATCAGCTGGGATACTCGCGTAGTCTCTGGTTCTCATCATATCTCTATCATAAAACTCTGGAGGAGATTCTAACGTTGGCAGCAGGAACCGCCTTGCTGGCTGATGCCCCGCCAGCCTCTGGTCGTACTGGCGACGGTATCTGTTGATTGTTGAGCCAGTACGGTCAATGTCGTCACCGCCGTGAGTGATTGAAGCGCGTTTTATGGTTTGTGAGAGTGTGTAGTTAAAATGACGGCTGGTTAAATGAATCAAAATCATTTAGTGGTGCAGCACAGCCCGTCCTGAGAGATATATTCAATTTTGGCTTGGCAAACGGTTTCTGCGAAAAAACAACAACACGATTTTGACACAATGACGGAACAAATAACACATAAACACAGCGCCAAGATCACCGCCACTGGAACAGTCCGCACACTTACCAAACGTTACTCATGTCGCCTCGGCGGTGATGAATGTTCACTTGTTCAGGCTTATACATTTATCGATATAAACAAAAGTTCTGTTTCGTTTCAGGAAGTTCGTTCTTCGTTCGTGTCTTCGTTATTCTCGGCTTCGGTAACTTGTACAAATTTAGTTGAAATATAAGTCGTAATTTCACATCTTCCAATCAAAATAATGGGCTTATTAACTCAATAGCCCAAAAGCTCACTGGCTTTCAAATTCTTCTCATATTTTGCCTTTTCAATTTTCAAATATTTACACAAATAAAACATTTTTCGCCACCTCGTGCATAAGTCGCTCCTGCTCCACAGCAGCGATAATCGAGGTCGCGACACCCTCCCCCCGCCAGTGTCCCACCTCTTGGGAACACTATACGTCAGCGTCATCAGCGGCCCCTTCAAGAAAGCACGTAACGTCAGTGAAGGGGCCGTGAAGTGGGCCGCTCAAGTTCCGTCTCTGCACCAGTCCAGCACACCATACCGCTCGCTCTCTCTCGTCTGCTGCTCCTGGGTCACCAGCTGATGTCGATCCTTCCTGCATGACGGAAGCGCCTCAGACATTCTCGTAAGGCCCCATGGTGTCGAGCTGATCCAGCCAGGATGACGTTCTCCCGTTGACGTCCACAGGTGCAGAGATAACGGCGCAGTAGTCGGACGGCTGTCTTGGCGGACGGGCTGTGCGGACTAGGTCATCAGGGTGTGTCTATCTGAAAGTCTATCGCCGAGACTAGCGCTGGCATATGTTACATGATATGAATGATGTGAATGATGTGTATGATGTGGTGACTGCAAACTAATCTGCTGTACTTGCTGTTACTTTGTGTTTGTGTGTCTATTTGTGCATGTTCAGTGCCATTCTTGGATCATATTCCTTGGCATCAGGATCACCACACATTCGTTCCTTCTGTCTTTCTTATAGTTGGTTTGCTGCTTCCTGAGGTCGTTCGAGGAAGCACACTTTGTTTGCTGGCCGTTGGTAAGTCAAACCATTGCCAGTTCTGAGTTGCAAGGAGCGGACGTGGCCATCAGCGCTTGGCGTAGTGCGGGTCACGGTCGCTAGCGGCCAGTACCCCCGTGGGGCTTGGTCGTCCACCATCATGACAACATCCCCGACTTCAATATCTCCGGTTCCAAGTGCCCATTTTTCACGTCGCATCAGATTCGGGAGGTATTCTTTCCTCCATCTTGTCCAGAAGTGGTTGGCGATCACTTGAGCATGTTTCCACCTTCTCTTGCTCAGTAGAGCTGAGTCATCAGTTGATCCTGGCGGCAGATACAGTTCTGGCGAGCCCAACAGGAAATGATTCGGAGTCAGTGGCTCGGGGTCATCTGCGTCGCCGCTGCAGTATGTTATTGGTCGACTGTTGACGACATACTCGACTTCTACCAGGGCTGTCGACAGAACCTCGTCTGTCACGACTTGCCGACCCAGCACAACTCGCAGGGCTCTCTTCACAGACGCTACAAGGCGTTCCCATATACCTCCCATGTGGCTCGCCGTGGGAGGATTAAAGTGCCACTCGATCTGTTCTTGGCTGAGCTCGTCCAAAATTTGAGACTGGTTCCACTCCTTGATTGCAGTTCTCATCTCCTTTTCACCGGCTACTATGTTCGTACCGTTGTCCGAATAGACCACTGATGGCTTGCCTCGACGTCCAAAAAATCTCCTCATGCCCATGAGGAAGCTGTCAGTGTCTAGTGACCACACAACTTCTAGGTGAACAGCTCGGGTGCTCAAGCATGTTACCAAAAGGACCCAGCGTTTCTCGGTCTTCCGGAATTTCTTCACTTGCAGCGGACCGAAGAAATCTAAGCCGACGCAGTGAAATGGGCGGGTCGTGTCAAAACGGTGTCGCGGCAGATCTGCCATCTTCGGCTGAGACGGCTTCGCCCTCCTATTCCGACAGAAGGAGCACGCATACAGCACGTGTTTCACGGTCGCTCGACCCCTCGGTATCCAATATTTGCTGCGGATCATACTCAGCGTGTGCTCCACTCCAGCATGCAATGCTCGTTCATGGGCGTCTTGTATTAGCATGCGCGTCACCTCATCCTTTCTACTTAGGATGACTGGATGTCTAGCATCTTCACATATAGGAGCGAGGGAGAGACGGCCGCCGGCTCGCAAAAGTCCCTGTTCATCCAGCATAGGTGACACGCTCAGCAGAGGGCTGGAGGGATGCACTGAACCGCTTGTTGCTATCTTTTTGATGTCAGTTGAAAATGCTCGCTGCTGCGCGTCTTTCAAAATCATCATTTTTGCCGACTCGATTTCAGGACCATTCAGTGCTGTAAGAACCAACGTACGTTTTTGCACAGCGGCTTTCAGGTTGTCGATGTATCTTTTGATCCATGCTACGATTCTAGTATACTTGTTCCATGACGAAAATCGTGCTGGATCTGGCAGTACTGACCGGTATGTCTGGACCTGAGTGCTCAAAATATGCGGAGTCCTTCTCACCTCTGGATCGGCGTGGTCCAGATCTGATGAACCCATTCCTTGAGAGGGCCAAAATTCTTCAGTTTTCTTCAGAAATTCTGGACCTTCCCACCATGACTCTAGGTCATTCAACGTGGCGCCGGAGGCTCCGCGGGAACAGGCATCCGCTGGGTTCAAATGGCCCGGGACGTGCTTCCAATCTTCGCAGGAGGATAAGTCCAATATTTCGGCAACTCTGTTCGCCGTGAACGTATGAAAGCGGCGGCTCTCATGCTGGACGTAAGCCAGTACGATCTTGCTATCTGTCCAGTACAGAGTACGGGAGAGATGGTAGGTGATTGACTGTTTGATACTTGCAGCCAGTCTACAGGCTAACACCGCCGCTTGCAACTCCAGTCGAGCTATGGTGAGCTGTTTCAGTGGTGCTAGTCGTGTTTTCGCCATAACGAATGAACAAAGAGCCGTCTGCTCACCTTCCCCACGGCGCTCGTTCGTCATTCTAACGTACGCCACAGCGCCAAAGGCCGCTTCTGATGCGTCACAAAACACATGAAGCTGGTATTCATCTGGTTCTTGTGTCAGCCTTGCTTTATAACAGCGAGGAATGCGGATATTTTCAAGGTAGTGAATCTCGGATTCCCATTCAAGAAATTCATGGCGCTCAGTTGCCCGCAGTTGGTCATCCCAGCCGTAGTTTAGTGACCACAGTCGCTGTACCAGTATTTTGGCGCGTAGCGTGAATGGGGCAACAATACCAAGCGGGTCAAAAATCATTGCCACTCGTCGAAGCACTCCTCGTTTCGTCTCTGGTACCTCTGTAAAGCGGCTCTTGACACCGATCAGGTCCATTTCCGGTATCCAAACACATCCCAGTGCCCGTTCCAAATCTCCCTTTTGACGCATTAAATCAACGGCGGGAATACCAGAGTTGTATTCTGAATCTTCAAGAACCTCTGAGTGACTGCTTACCCACTTTGCCAGTACAAATCCTCCCTGACCAACTATTTCCGTGACTCCATTTTTTATCATTTTGGCTTTCTCGACTGTTCTAGTAGCCGAATGCAAAAAATCGTCCATATAAAAGCTTTGACGTATCGCTGAGACGATAACAGCAGATTCTGCGTCATCCCTGTGGTCATCTGCGGTTCTCTGAAGGACGTAGCTGGCTGCCACTGGACTACATCTAGCGCCAAATATGGTCACTAGCATCCTGTAATGGTCGGGCGTCTTAGACGTGTCCCCGCCTCTCCACAGAAACGTCAGCGCGGGCTGATCTTCGACTCGCATCTTCACTTGATGGAACATCTCGGTGATATCCCCCATAATTGCTACACGTTCCTCACGGAAGCGGATGAGGATCCCCACCAGGTTTTGCAGCAAGTCTGGCCCTGTGAGAAGATTGTCATTTAGTGACGTTCCTTGACATGATGCTGCTGCATCAAACACTACACGCAACTTTTTCTTGTTAGGATTTGAAACCCCGTGATGTGGGAGAAACCATGTCTTGGGGTTCATCTTGGCAGCTTCAACTTCCTCTTGTGTCAACTTGCGCGCATAACCCTTCTTAACGTATCCCATGAGCGCCTCATCGTATGCTGCCGCCTTTTCTGAATTCTTGCTCATGTTCTTCTCAGTTGAAAGTAGGCGATGGTAAGCTATATGGTAGTTGTTAGGCAAATGAACATCGTCTGTTTTCCACAACAGGCCCACCTCGTAACGGTCCCCAACTTTCATCGTAGTCTCGTCTAAAATCTGTATGGCTCGTCTATCTTCGGTAGACATTGATGTTTTATCCACGTATTTTGTACCAAAACATTCAGTACTCCACCATTCTTGGACATAGACTGGCACCTCTTCTGACTCTGTTTTTTGAACCAACATAATCTGCCGTACATGCTCAGGGACAAGATTGTGCAGTGAGCCGGAGAGCGCCCAACCAAATGCCGTCTTAACGGCGACAGGCTCCCCGGGTTTGCCCATCCTAGCCTCCAGTTGAAGTACAGCCTCGATAACATTAGCCCCAAGAAGAAGCTCAACCTTTTGTCCATTGTAACCGGCTATGTCAAGATCACGAATGTGTTTCCAGCTTTGCATGCGCTTTTCAAGACTCGGAGTTTTAACGTACAAATCGGGAACTGAAAATGCCTCCGAGACAAATATGGGTTTTGACCATGGCTCGTGGGCGGGGACAAGACTCAATGTCACCCTATGGGAAATTTGTTCCGTGCCGCGACCTCTCACCGTTTGGAGTTGGAGTCCTTGTTTCTCTCCGGTCAGTCCAAGATCAGTAAGAACTTCTTCACAGCAAAGTGATGTTTGTGATCCGGGATCGAGAAGTGCGTTCACGGCCCGGGACCGCCCTTCATTTCCCAGAATGCGAACACGCACGACCTGAAGCAAGGTGGCTGCGCCGTGGTCAGGCTTGGACGCAGCAGCTATAACTCGAGTACCGGGGCTGTCCGCCGTGTCCTCGATCCGCCTGGCCTCTGCTTCTGGGATAGGTCGCCGTACCCTCTGGCTCCCATGCAGCAAACGATGATGACGCATCCTGCATCCCTCTAGACCGCACGGCCTGGCTGTTCTGCAATAGCGCGCCCTATGCCCCCGTTTGAGGCAATAGAAGCAGACGTCAGAAGAAGCGACAATTTCGGCCCTTCGATTTGCGTCCTTCTCTAAGAATGAGGGGCATGTGTCTACGTTATGTTTTTCTCCACAGTATATACAGGCCCCGGAATGTTCCACTTCAGTGCTGAGGGCGGCTCTGCGAAGCGGAACAGCAGTCACGTCATGTTTTTTGGCTCGACTCTGTCGGTTTTCTTCTGTTGCCACTGCCGCGTAATTTATAGCTACCCGTACTTGCCGACGCAGCCACATATCAAAATTTACCAACGTTGGTCTGGAGGGCTCCAAATCAAGCACATATTGGCCCCACTCTCTCTTCAGTTCAGAGGGGAGTTTTCTCGCCACGTTATGCAAGTTCTCTGAGCTATGCAAGTCACTTTCATAACCCAGATTTTCCAAGACCGAGACGGCAGAATGAACGGCCGCGTGGAACCGATCGGTTGATTCGGGATCTAAATATCTCGGCGAAGGACAGGAAAAAACAGCTGCTAAATTCGAATGCACAATGTCTTCCTCTCTTCCATAGCGATCTTGTAGCGCAGCTATAGCGGCGCGGTAAAGTCGACCGTCATAAAGCATTCCGGAGATTGTTTTTTGAGCTGGACCAATGACGGCGCCCTGGAGATGCGCCATCTTCTCTGTGTCAGTCAGGGCAGACTGATTGCCAACCAGAGTTTGGAAAAGCGCAAACCAGCGCGGCCATTCCCCGGGAGCTCCACTGAACTTGGTTAGCTCTAACCTGGGGAGATTCTTCAACAGACCGCCATCGGTACCAGCGTGATGTCCAGTATGTATGGCCCGCTGGAATCCAGCGGCGGCAGGAGCGGAGGATGTTGAATCAACAGGGTTGGGCTCTCCCGTCACTTGACGGCTTGGATTTCCTTCCATATCCACACAGGGTCTATCGACAAAATCATCACGCCTCTCCCATTGCAATTCATTTTCGGCAGCGAGTGTTAACTTTGCTTCTAACTCCGCTGTTGCTTGTGTATCTCTCGCATTTTCAAGTTCATTTACTCTTCTCAACTCTTCTTCTTTTCGTTCTCTATCATGTCGATTTTTAAGCTGCTGCAGCTCCATTTCTTTAACTTTCAATATTATTTCCGTTTTCTTTGCTTCAGATATGTGAGAGACTGAAGAACACTCGGAGCCATTGGCTGATGCATCCGGTTCGTCCTTCCTATCCACCAATGCCTTCTCTATCTGATCCATTGTATCATGGTACTGACATTCTGCTTCTGCCACATAGCTTTGGGCCTTCTTTATTTCATCTGCACCATCGAGAGTTTCGATATATTCATCATTTTTTACTTGCAAATTCGCCAAAGCTTCATCGAGCTCAGACATCATTTTCAGCAGACTAGTCCGGCTCCCCTTAGCATCGACCGCGACTTGTGCCCTTCGTCTGAGTCTTGTGAGTTTTGCCAACGCGTACTGACGGCTTTGTTTCCCCTTCGATGATGCCTCAGACATGACTGTTTTTAGCTAAGAAACTTCTTGGATTAACAATTCAGCGAAATAAGTCAGATAACTGAGAGGGATGTATGACAGAGACCTTTGAGCGTTTGAAACTGTCGTCACCGCCGTGAGTGATTGAAGCGCGTTTTATGGTTTGTGAGAGTGTGTAGTTAAAATGACGGCTGGTTAAATGAATCAAAATCATTTAGTGGTGCAGCACAGCCCGTCCTGAGAGATATATTCAATTTTGGCTTGGCAAACGGTTTCTGCGAAAAAACAACAACACGATTTTGACACAATGACGGAACAAATAACACATAAACACAGCGCCAAGATCACCGCCACTGGAACAGTCCGCACACTTACCAAACGTTACTCATGTCGCCTCGGCGGTGATGAATGTTCACTTGTTCAGGCTTATACATTTATCGATATAAACAAAAGTTCTGTTTCGTTTCAGGAAGTTCGTTCTTCGTTCGTGTCTTCGTTATTCTCGGCTTCGGTAACTTGTACAAATTTAGTTGAAATATAAGTCGTAATTTCACATCTTCCAATCAAAATAATGGGCTTATTAACTCAATAGCCCAAAAGCTCACTGGCTTTCAAATTCTTCTCATATTTTGCCTTTTCAATTTTCAAATATTTACACAAATAAAACATTTTTCGCCACCTCGTGCATAAGTCGCTCCTGCTCCACAGCAGCGATAATCGAGGTCGCGACAGTCAACATCTACTTTTTGCGCCGGTAAAGGGCTGCGTCAAGGATTAATCATCGCCATCGATATGTCGTTCTGCGATTGATTAGTTTTCACGAATGGTGCATCGTTCTATAGTTGGGAATGGATTGAATGCCCCGAGTTTTTCCTTCGCTTGCGTACTGTGAAAACCGATATCATCAGGGGGCACGGTGGCTCTGCCCTCGGTCCGTGTGGCCCGCTCTGCTGGCCCCGATGCCCGTCTGTTTTAGAGTAGGTGTCACTATCTTTATTGTCGGGCAATAATCGGCCACCCGCCGCTCGGTAACGCCAGGAACAGTTTGGGAGGGGCGGCAGAGGGCGGGTTCGGAGGCCCGCCGGCTGTGGGTGGTGGCGAGCCAAGCTGGGTGTGCCGGACAGGCATGGGTGGTATCAGGACGGATGGGGTAGGATCAGGACGGGATGATCGTGAGCGACTACACTACGCATTTGTCACTGATCTGAAATGATTTGACGCGGACATTTACAAAACTTTGTTTTTGACGTTGACTTGCCAAAGACTCAACATTTTTTTTTTTTTAGGCTGAAAAGTCATCGTTGGGCGCCTCCACCGTAAGTTAGAATTGGACGTCCGTATTTGGCGAAAACAATCTGGTTACCATCATCGAGCGGTACACTTGCAACTAGAAAAGTTCAACTTTTCACCACTGCACGTAAAACATTCTCTCCAAAACTTGGTGCCGCTAATGACCTAGGAAGACGTGTTCGGAAGACCTCTGTCCAGTGCTCCGAGCAGTCTCAGTCAGCTACCACCCGGGCGTGGCTTCATCTGGGATCGACTCGGCGTCGGGCGGGGGTGGGGAAGCCGCCTCCAACAGGTGCTCGTTAGGAGCTGGTATCGACCGCTCCCGCGCCGCCCCAGAGGAGCCCCCTCCCTCTCCTCCTCTCGAGGTCTGATCTACGGAGAAAGGTCAGCCACCAGGAGCTGGTGAGACTTAAGAGCCGGTATACACCGCTTGGATGTTTGTCTCCAGATAACGGCCATCCCATAGACTGGCGGGAGATGGTAACGTTGATAAAGTGTAGATAGTTTGATAAGGGTTGACAACGCTGAATGCCTACAAGCCTGGATAATATGATTCATGTTATCTATGCTACAAAATATCTTGTCCTGTAAGTGAGATATAATACAGGTGACATATATGTGAATTCATACAACTGGTCCGAGATCACGTAAATAAATATGTGATAACTTGGTCTTTCTGGTTCAACCATCATGAGATGTCAAGCTGAAGTTGGGTAATGGCTGCTTGCGTGTTTCTCCGCCTCCCGGCGTACTCTTTTGGTTCCTGCTCGCGGAAGACGCATCGGCCGCCGATGCTGCTATATTTGGCCTCGGTAACGTGCCACTGGCAGAAATGTATGTGTGCTGTGACCTTTTACAGCCGTCACCTCATCAGTGGTAGTGGCCTTTTACGCTACTGCCAGCTATATTTCTGTAACTGCTGCCGCTGCTGCGTTTGGAACAGCAATGTGAAGTCCGGCCACCTATCGGCAGGGTCGGAAGTGATGGAAATGGACAGGCAAAAGAAGCCTATAGTGACAGACGTGATCTATGCGGCAAGACGTTTTTGTTTGTAATGTTGCGGTTACAGATGTTCCACCAATATTTCGCGCTGCAGCAACCTTCTCTATGAGATGCAGCTTTTCAAAGCGAATTTACTTACTAAACTTGGTTGCACAGTGACGTGTAAGTAACATCGTGAGAATGGTCAGGCTTAGAGTCAAAACTCCATGAACGGTTTGATTTATCCTTATTTTAACCATATCTTATTTTTGCCGCGATTCAGTGTGAGAAGGATGGCAATACATAAGTTGAATTCGATGGCAGACTAAACTGTTATCGCTTTTTCAGACCAGGAAAATGTAGCCCTGGCTTTTATAACACGGCGAAGAACATGTAAATAAAGGCTAGTTTGTGCATACAAATGTGCATGCTAAGGCTGCGGCTTCACACCATATTTAGCACGAAAGACGCACGGGCGGCTCACAGCGGGTATAGTTTCACAGGCGCCGTCATGCAGGAGCCGGTTGCCTATGTGTGTAAACAGCATTATTTTTTGTGTGTGAAGCTCGTTTGCACTAATAAACGTTTTATAACTATTAACAATGCAATCGTTGAATTCATACAATTAGGATGGAATGATCAAAATTGGTAGGTTTATGGTTAGAAGGTACAATGAGTCAAGGCCAATTTAAGCTATGTCTGTCATTGTTCCGACCGATTGGTGCATTTAGCTCTTATCTTTGCTAAAAATGCTACCGATTCCAACGTATCGTCCCCACATGCTTTCGAGTAAAGGCGCGGACCGTGCCCAACTGTCCAACATTTACTCCGATCGCTGCATTGTCCGGGCGGAGATCCGGCTGTGTCCGGGGACCCGTCCGACCGGCCTTCCGCGCCGTCCGGGAGGGACGGACGGGGAGACGGGACCTGTCCGGTGCGGGCCGCTCCTCCGAGCCCGGTGGACATCGGCCCCAGTCGGGCCGGGCCGGCCGGCGACGACCGCACTGCCACAGACCAGTGTCGCCGCCGGCCGGCCGGCTGGTGCAGTGATTGTGGGTGGCGTCAGCGAACGCGTTACCGTGCTTTGCCTCGTCTCTGTTGCGGGTTGTGGTCCTGCCGCCGTCATCCCTTCATGCGCTCTTGGTCTCTGCAGTATGCGAGGTAGGTAGCTTCCGGTCCGGTGCCTGTACCGGACCGGACCTACCAGTGGTCCGGTCCGATGTGCTCCATTGGTCCGAACCGATATCTGATATAGTTCGGTCGAGCGATCCTGATTGAGGTCTGAATAGTGGATTTTAATATCCGAGTGCGCTTTGCATTTATTTTCATTATTTTACGTTATGGAATCCGGATCGGCTGCCCAGTCTTCAATTCGTTGAATGCACTTATAGCTCAATGCTTTCTTGAGAATCGATGCGTTTCCGTGAATGGACATTGGACAGATGGGTCTTCCAATGGTTTAACCCTATTCCTGGCGGGGGGGGGGGGGCCTCAGGAGCCCCCCCCCCTGAGGTTTTTTGGTTATTTCTCCCAAACGCGTTGAGCTAGGAAGCTCAAATTTTCTGAATTTTCCTAAAAGGCTTCTACGCAACATGTCTGAAAATTTTGAGTGGATCTGACCTCAGGTCAGGTCACCAGAGGCGGTTTGGTGACCCTACCTCAGAAAAGTTCGCAATCACGCCAGAGCTAGAGTTTTTGACCGATCAATTTCTTCTCTTCAGGCTTTAGTTAGGATACCAGTATGTGCAATTCGTATATCTCGGAATTTTGATATCGGTGACCTAAGGTCAGGTCAGTTTCGCGACCTCCTCATTATAAGTCAATGGGGGAAAAATCAACTCCCTGTTTTTACCACTAAAACGGGTCGGAATGGCCCCATATACCATACATGACTTCATATACGATCAACCTTCACTACCTTGAGGTCTGTTTTGCTGTTGGGCAGCTGTGAGGTCATGTGACGTCATCAAAGGTCACCAAAGGTTTTTGGCCAATAACTCCGTACAGGAACAAGATACAGACGCGTGGATGGTCTCATTGTGTTCAGCTCGTCAAGACGCATCGAATGATATACATGATGACCTCGAGGTCACGTGACCTGAGGTCAACCTTTGACCTTGACCTTTCGAGGTCAACATATATATCATTCGATGCGGATTGACGAGAGGATCACGATGATGCCCTTAGTTTGTTCCTATCTTGACTAATTCGAAAGTTATTCGAGAAAAACTCTCTCCATATCTAGCGCCGCCATTTTGACTTTTTCGACCCCTGTGACGTCATCTTTGACCTGACCTGAAAATGACCTTAGTAAAAATTGTAGATCTTGACCGTGCGTATCCGATGCCGTTTACCGTTTGTCGCTGCGATGTGTAGTTTTTGAGATCTGAAGGGGGCCGAATCGGCCCCCCCCCCCGCCAGTTTCTTGTCCCGGCGGAGCCCGCCAGGAATAGGGTTAAGCATTTCCCCAAGCGCACCTTTTAGTCACTTTGGAAACTTTGGGCTGACGTGGTCCCTAAGGTTGGTATGGGCTTTTCTTATATTTGCGGCTGCGTCGGGTCGATGCGAGCGTTCCTCATATTTTCGGTTGCGTCAGGTGTTAGACATTCTCTGGGTCGCTTATCTACGCGGACAGCTACCGCCGCGCGAGCAGGGAGGATGGAGGGAGCCGTCAGCCTAGACCGGGTGAGGACGAGGATCGTCTGTCTCGCGCATAGGTCATCTCGCCTATGCAGAGGCGGACGGACCGTTTCTCCTTATGTCGCCAGCGTAAGCTGCTCTCCATCTCTCTGTGCGGCGGGTACGGTCGTTTGGAGTGAGATTGTCGGCGGCCGGGCCGCCCCGCCGTGACCTTTCCGCCGGCTGGTGTGAGGTCATTACTGGGCTCACGGGACGTCTGACCGACCGACGGTAGCGGCTGTCGGCGCCAGCTGCCGCCCCCGGCGGGCCGAGAGAGCGATGGAGAGGGAGGGGTAGCCGACTGAACCCCTATCCTACATCACCCGGCCCGGAGATGGCCACGGCCAGTTCACGACCAGGGCTGCGGCTGGGACACCGGACGGCGAACAATGCTGGTTTTGTCGCTGTTCACTTGGTCGCATCGCATGTGTCATCGATTTGATTATTCTTTGGTTGATGCAATATTTGGGTCATGTGCCATTTACATACTCCCGAGTCCCGTATCTGTCATCAATTATCATGGTTGATGCCATCGATGCCATCGGTTTCTCTTCCCGGTTCGATATCTGTGACAATCGATGGTCTTGCATCCACATTCCACATGAAACACACCACGAGTCGTTGCCCCTTGCTCATAAAATGTTTCGTGGGCATTTTAATGAGCTTACGTTATTTTATTAATTATTTCTGTCGTCTTTCATGTTGTCTTGTTTAACTACTCTATAGTTCTGATTCGGCCCCGGCTTGTCTCTTCAAAGTGAGGAGATTAGTTCGA